CCAGTTCGTCCCCTTTGCACCCTCTCGAAGTTTGCAGCAATTCTCTGATTACAGAGGATGCTGCACCTAGGGCATAGTATCATTCCCGTATCTCCTTTGTGGCACATCATGAGGTAATCCTTAAGACTAACATCCCCAGCATGATTATCCTCCATTTTATACTTTTCTTTTTCTAAGTATCTCTCCACCTCCTCCATTTCAGAGTGAGGTCTCTCCATATCCACCATGTTTACCTCAACATCCTCCTCCTTAGTGTCATCATCTCCCCATCCTGTAGGTTTTATATCTTCAATTTGGATTTTTGAACTTTCTGGGGAAGAATATTTGACCAAGTAGTCAAACTTTCCACTGGGCTCCCCTAAAGTATCCCATATTTCTTTCTGAGGGGAAGTTGGCTTCGTGATCTGGACTTTCTCCAATTCTAGCCTCAGGCCTTCAGTAATCTGTGTCAACTCTTGGTTTTGGTTTTCCTGGCCTTCAGTAGCCTGGATTTCTTTTGCAACAGCTAAAGGTTCTGTTTCTATTGATAGTTTATGGACGTCTTCAGTGACCCCCTTGTTGACTTCGACTAACATCCAACTTTCATTTTCAGTACCTTTCTCTCCTACTGGAGCGTCATTTTGATCAGGTTCCACCACGTTAATTTCTCCAATGCATGCAGACTCGGAGTAATTGGTGTCCGCGACATCCAGAGGATCTTCATCCACTTTCATTTTTGCTTTATTGGCGAATTTCAGTCTGCCATCTTTAATTGCATTCTGAATTAGGTCCCTGAAAAGAAAACACTGTGAGGTTTTGTGGCCTAGGAAACTATGATACTTACAAAATCCTCTTTTCTTCCTTTGATCTAAAGGAGGTATTTTGACATTTGATGGCACAATGAGTTGGCCATCTTTGACAAGTAAATCAAAAATCTCGTCACACTTCGTTACATCGAAGGTATAAACCTTCTTTGGGAATTTGTCACTTTTCTCATTTTCAACAATTTCTTTCCCTTTTGTGGGAACTAATAATTTGCAGGAGTAAGGTGGTTCCTGTTTTAATTCAGCGAGGTCGATTTCGACCTCTTCGAATTTGAATTCAGGATAATCTTCTGCTTCCTTAGTTCCAACATAGGAGACCCTTTCCTTCTTGTTATTTTTAAAAACTCTGGCCTTTTCGGCTTTTAGCCTTTCGACCTGTCGAACCCTATCGGCTAATTGAGCCATATCCCTCAAGTATTGAGTGTCTAATTTCTTTCGAATAGAGTAATCCAGGCCGCCAGCAGCCATTTCGACTAACTCATATTCAGGAACTACTGTAAAACATCTAGATTTCAAGAGCCTGAATCTATTCAGATAATCGTCTATGGGTTCAGTAAACTTCCTTTTGACACTGGCTAGTTCCTTCAGACTTATTAGAGATTGTCCCATGTAGAACTGTTCACGGAATAATCTCTCCAACAGCGCCCAAGTATCTATGGACCCAGGAGGTAAAGTGGTGAACCATGTGAAAGCGTTCTTAGTCAGGGAACTTGGGAAATATTTGATCCTAAGGTCTTCATTATTGGCTATATCTCCTGCTTCGGTTAGATACCTGGCTATGTGTTCGACTGTTGATTCATTGGTATCCCCAACAAACTTTGTAAACTTAGGGACTTTATATCCCCTTGGTAAATCAGTGTGCATTATGTAATCTAATATAGGAGAGGCGTAATTTGGCCTTCTAATTCCTGTGTTGAGGCCATTCTGGGCCATGATTCTCTCTATCATGGTGGTTAAATTATTTTCTGCCAAGATGTTATCGTTTCGAATTCTATGAACGACTGCATCAGCATCTTGATTTCGACCCACCATGACAACCCCTCTAGGTTGTTCTTCTCGAAACTCTGGGACTTCTAGCCTTTCGACCCTTGCCCCTGGTTCCATAATTTCCCTTTGTGGGCCTTGAATCATTGGGGCTTCTAACCTTTGAGCCCTTGCCCCCAAATTAACCTCCTCCCTGGCTGGTCTATAGGGTGGGTCGTTAGCAACTTGTTCTATAAAAGGTACGTTTGCTCGAACTCCCGCCTGATTCTGCCTACGCCTTTCTGGGGGAGCGAAAAAATCTGCTATTCGACTCATGTTATCCGCGTTTTCTCTGTTTGTCACAGTTACATTTTGTACTATTGGGGCAAAGATTTCCTGCATAGTTTGTGCTAACACTCCTATCATATTATGGTTACTGTCATCCATTAATTGCCTAAAGGCCAACTGATTTTCTGTGGTTAAGATAAGCATTGCACTATAACCCACTGACCCTTGGTTATTTGTCATAAATTGATTTGCCCCAGACCCAGACCCTAATTATGGTGATGAATTCGATGTGGAATTGTGTAAGCCTGCCATAAAAGATGTTGGCATTCCATAAGAGAAATTTCTAGTTCTGTTACCATCGAAACCGGGTGGTCTAGTTAGTGGGGTGGCAAAATGGGTTTGTGTCCCTGGTGGTGGGACGAATCCCCCAGGATAACCAATGGTTCCAGTATTTCCTAGGATCGAACTGTTAGTTGATATGCCACTTGTTCCATTAGTGACTACGCTACTGGTAGAGGGTGCAACAGACTGTGCGTTCAAAGGGATTGCATTAGATGTTCCTATCGAAGCGGACATATTAGTGCCTGTTGTATGTGGGATATTTTGTTCCCCTTGTTAATTGTCTGAATTAGACATCTTGTTTAAACGTTTTCTTCTGGGTAAGGGTTGGTTGCTATTGGTTATTCTACCACTTCTAAGGTTCATATAACAACAAACTTATCACTCAGAAAGTACTTTTACAATGGTTATGTCTCAACAATTTTTACTTTGTTCTAGATTTCGTAATGACCAATGATCGGGTCCCACCAGATGTGCCAATTTGTTTACAATTATTTCTGGTAAACAACCGCTAGTCCTCCAAACTATCAAATAATCTTAATGACTGTTATTTAATCTCTCTGGTAACTTGCAGGATCGACTAGATTGATCCTAGGATGTATTGGTCATTTGGATGATTCTCATTATAGAACTGATATTTATGGTTGGTATTTAGAATGTTGTGTAGGTGTTCGACTTACTTCGATTACTCTATTAAAGATCTAATGACATGATCAAGTAAATGCGTGCGAAACTAAATTGCATGAATAAAGTTCAATTGTAAAGACATGTAAAACTGCAGAAAAGACAAGTAAATGACTTCGAAGCATAAAAACATGTAATGTAAAAGCGTTTCTGGAATGTAAAAGATTCGAAATATGAAGAAAGCGTTTAAATGCAAGAAATCAGTAAAATGACTTTGAGTGAAAAAGGTATTCGAATGATAAAAGCATGAAGATAAAGGCATGAAATATACAAAAGTTTCTGAAATGTAAAGGATTTGAAATGGAAAGAAAACATTTAAATGTAAGACATCAGTAAAAGACTTCGAATGAAAATACTTTAATGTAAAGGCTTTTGAATGATATTGACATGAAGATAGAGGAAAAGACTGGAAATGATAAAAAGTTTTATTGAATCATAAACACTTGGTGTTATCATACGTACATTGTTCGTGCATTCGTTTCCCTAGCCATGTGGTATTTTGAATGTTTACTGAATTTTTGTACAATAGATATGACACACGAAATCCCAACGCTAAGACTTCTATTTATACTACTTCGACCATAACGGTCTTGCTATAAGATTCTGCCACGTTCAGAACATGCAAAGCAATGCCCCTCTCTAGCTTCCACGCGTCTTCGAATGCTCCAGCGCATATATTTTAAATTTCGAACATCCCGCTTGCGTTTGAATTTCAAATGTTTTGGCACTCTTCGCTTCGAACTCATTTCTTGGACACAACCTTGTTACCATTTCGAGATTTCTTTGAATATATCCCCATAACTGTCACTCGAAGCTCAGAGTTTTGACATGCCCATTCGAAGCACTGCTTCTACCATTTCGAAACATGACATCTTGCTTTATTCCAATCGAAACATCCAACTTGCTTCGCTTTGAACAATATCATCAAAATCTTCAGCCAACAAGTATATATTTACTATATCGTCAAATTTATCTGAGCATTACTATAATAAACTTGGAGTTTATTGTCTGGTCTGGTTATGGAGACGCATCTTTGGATTCTGTCTGGTGTGATTATGAAGATACATCTCCGAAATAATCTATGGTAAAAAGGGGCATTTCAAAGAGAGGGTGTTTGGGGTGTAAATTGATCTATTTCGAAGATGCATCTATGGATAAATTTTTGCAAAATATATTGGATGTGACTCACTTTTAACGTTTTGACCGAAAACAATAGTGTGTTCGGAGATACATCTTCAGATCTGAATGACAATTTTTAGATTTTTATAAGATATTTTTCCACCACTTAGAGTGAAGTTAATATTTCTCCTTCCTTTACTTCTCTCAAATTGAACATTTATTTTAGTATTTATAGTGTTAGCTGTTTTAACACATTTTATTTATGAAAATGATTAGTCTCTCACATTAATGAAATTTTAAACAGCTAACAAATTGAACATTTATTCAAAACAACTATTTATGAAAGTATAATGTTCAATTTGAGGGAAAAGGTGCTCATGACGCGCGCGCGTGAAGCTTACGGCGGTGAGAGGCTGAGCATGGTGGTTGTTGAGTCCTGGCAGCGGAGTTTTGTTAGTTCTTCACAAATTATAGCATTATTACCTCTAAGATTACAGGTGTAATAAACATCAATTCGAAGTTAATCTCTATGACTATGACGTTTATCTGTTTGTTATAATTCCTAGCTGGGGCATACAACTGCAAATCTTGACTTGTATATGCATTTTATTAGTCTTCTCCTCAATCTTTTCTATGTCACTTTCCTCCCTTAAATATATGTCTGCCAATCGTCTAACCATATACTTGACTTCATTTTCTTTTATTTGTCACCAAATTTAAACCTTTACTAGTATATGCATTTTATCTTCGTCTCTCACATTAATCAAATTTTAACAAGTTTCTCTCTTTCTTGTTAACATTAAGATGACCACTACCTCTCCATATTCCTCCCTTTCACTCATTGCCATTTTCTTCTTATCTCTAACAGCTTTTGGGGCTAATACTATTCACCCGGACGAAAGTATGATTACTATTTCTATCACTGCTCCCTCATCGTCATGAACTTTCTTGAATCTGATCTTTTTTTTCTATCTAAGGATTCATGTTAGTTTGAGTAACATGTATTTTACTGCTTGATGACATGTTCACGTACTTTAAAATATTTTTCAGCACTTAGCTTATTGCTTCTGAATTGTATATTTAGAGGAAGCTCTTAAAGATATAGCTAAATCACTTGGGAAGAAGGATTGGAACTTTGATATTGATCCCTGCAGCAACAAACCTAACTGGGTTACCACTCCCATACCCAAAGTCTTAGAAAACAATGTTACCTGTGACTGCTCTGTTGCTGGTGACAACTTCTGTCATGTTGTTTCAGTGTAAGTCTCTTTTCTGGGGAACTCACCCTTTGCTATCACCACTTCTAATTAATTTAATTTGAATATTTGTTTCTTCATTTATGGTAGTACTGAAATATTGAGGTAGGAATTGACACTGTCCATGTGTTAGATCGGTTTACACCATGTAGTAAACTTCACCTGTACATTCATAGCTATTATGCCCTTCCTTTCAATACAAATTTACTTCCTCCGTTCCTTTTTAAGTGTCTTTTTAGAAGTTTTTTTTTTTCTATTTAAGTGTTGTTTTATAGTTTAATGTTATAATTTGTTAATTATATCCTTAATTTCTCAATAACTCCACTTCACATTTTTCATAAAATTAATTATTTTTTCAATTAGTTATTGGAAAAAGAGAGAAAGTATATGAGTGAATTTATTTAAAAAGAGAAAATAAATGAAGGTATAATAAGAAAAATAACTTTAACAATCTATTATCTTGGTTGAAGAGCGTTATGCTAAAACGACACTTAAAAAGGAACAAAGAGAATATCATTTATATACATTTATAAAATTGCTATCCCTAATGGTTAAACTAAGATTTAAAATCAATATTGCCAGAGACATCTATTTTTATGTTTGGCAAATTGTAAAATCAATTTTTAAACTCATTACTAGCTAAGAAATATATTAGAATTAATTACTTTATTTTGCTCATTGTCTATGTTTTACTTTTTTTTTTATGGTAAAATGTACATTTAGAATTTTGAAAGGGCAAAATCTACCCGGCACTCTCCCACCAGAACTGACGAGGTTGCGTTATCTTCAAAATATGTATGTAATTCCCAAACTTTCCCTCACATCCAAATTAGCAATATTATTGAACTTTTTTTTTTATATCTTCAATCACATGTATCTATAAATTATTTTGCTTTACGAACTCACTCATTCTCTCTTTCTCTCTAATATAGTGACCTCTCTCGCAATTACTTAAATGGTACAATTCCAAAGCAATGGGGCTCCATGATGAGTATCAGTAAAATGTATGATTTTTTTACTAATTTTTCTTTTCTGGTTTCTATTCATTGAATGTTTGATATATTATACAAGGTCATTCTTGACATTTGAGTCTTATTTTACATTTTTATGTAAGACTTTGCATTCATTTTGTTGTAGATTTGTAGTAATTACATGCAACCCAATAAGCTATTGACAACAATTTTATCAATCGTTTTAGTGCCCTCCTTGGAAATCGATTAACGGGTTCAATACCAGCTGAGATTGCAAACATTTCTACTCTCCAAATTTTGTGAGTTTCTCATTTCCCACCTTAGCAGAAAAAGAATCCTTTTGTAAGTACATAAACATGTATTTGTTCTATTCAAAAGGTTTCAGTAAAACTTAACTTTAATTTGAAATGGACAGGGAGTTGTGGAACAATCAAATGTCTGGAAATCTCCCCCCTGAGCTTGGAAATTTAACCCAGATTCAAACACTGTAAGTACTTCATTATTTTCCTTAATTGACGTTCTCCCTCCAAATATGAAAGCCTAGTGTTTAAAGTCGGCTTTGATTTTCATGGCTTAGAATCATAATATACTATTTTGTTTTTCAATTACTTATAGGCGATTTTCCTTTAACAATTTTTCTGGAGAACTACCTGCAACATTGGCCAAGCTCACTACATTGCAAGATTTGTAAGCTTCAAATTTTATGGTGTCATTTAGTGATGACTGATAACTAAGTTAAAAAATTATTTTTATGAGGCTTCATATTTTCACGCCCTTTATCAATGCAGCCAAATTTCGGACAACCAATTCTCAGGACAGATACCTGATTTTATCCAGAACTGGAGAAATATCAATACACTGTATAAACTCTCCTTTTTTATTTTTTATATTTCCTCAAATTTAACTTTTTTTTTTGTATTGCTTGACTTAGAAAAAGATAATTATTAATGGTTACTTTAATTTGACAGAATCATTCAAGGGAGTGGATTAAGTGGGCCAATTCCTTCCAAAATTTCACTTTTGAGAAACTTAATTGACTTGTATGTATGATATTTTATATACTGAAAAAGCACCAGATGAAATTTAACTTTCATTTTAATTATTTTTACTTGGATTCGGTTCAAATATTCAGGAGAATTAGTGATTTGAATGGATCTGAATATGCACCTTTGCCACAACTTAATAATATGACATCGTTAAGCAAACTGTGAGTTGATTTTTCCGCCTCTTTCAGGAATAGAAAAAAAAAACAGAAAAAGAGGCACTCATAACATATCATTGCCTATCTTATTGTTTCACAGGATTCTAAGGAATTGCAACATCAATGGAGCACTACCCGACCTCGGGACTATGAAAACATTGAAATACTTGTAATTGCTTACTTGCTACATTTTATTTTACCGTAGCTAACTATTAAAGTTTCTTCTGTAAGTTTAGCGTATTCTGTAACCTCTGGCATCTTTGTTTTTATAAGTAATGTTTTGATAGATATAACATTTTTATAGCTCTCCAGCTTATTATATTGCTTGAATGTTTTCCTATGACAAATTCTTGTAGCTTTTTAACACATTCTCAATATGATATCTCTTTCAGAGACTTCAGCTTTAACAAATTCAGTGGAACAATTCCGAATGCCTATGCTGACATAAACAGTGTGGAATTCATGTATGAAATTCATCGTAGTTTTAGCGCAATTTTTTTTGCTTATATTAAGATTTTCATATTAATATCTTGATATTCTATTTGGCCAGATGTTTAACTGGAAACCTTCTCACTGGACTGATGCCTTCTTGGAAAAAGGACATCTTCGTGTAAGTTATTTTTTAATACTACTTGTATGATTCCTTGGATTGAACAATGTACTTTATTTTCGTTGCAACAAATATATTATATTCTCTCCATTCCTTTTTAATGGTTTCTTTTTGACTTTTTGCGCATATCAATAAAGTTAATAATTTTCACTTCTTTTCAAGTAAATATTGTCTTTTTACCTATAATACCCTTAATTATTTATTAAACCATTTAACTCTCTCTCTCTCTCTTCAATAAATAATTAGGGACAATATTGACAAAACGACAATTAATGTTACCTTGAACTTTGAAAATGACAATTAAAAAAGAACTAAATTTATACTCAAAAACAATAATTAAAACGGAACAGAGGGAGTAATTTATAGGCCTATCATCTGTAAGTTGATTTTGCTTTTTTTTCTTTTTGCTGGCTTCCCTGCCTTTTCCCCAGCTTAGCTGTGTAGTTTTCTTTTTTGTTTGCATTAACTGTACTGCAATGATTAACTATTTATTACAGTTTAGTCCTTTGTTATTTCTCTCATGATGAACTCTAGTCCTAGATCCATAATGACGAGTTTAGTCTCTCTTAGATTATAAGTTCACAACCCTCTTAATCTTCCCTCTCTTAAGGCTATAATATGGCTTCCTAAAGCTGCTGGGTTATTTACTCCGGATCAGTAGATGAGGAGCTTATTTCTGACCTACTTCCCAGTAAGAAATCGTTTTACAACTCTTATGTATTTGGAGTATGATTGTGCAATTGTTTACAATTTTTAAGGTTCTAATATTCTTAGATTTTTTTGTAGTCATCAAATGTTTCATTAAGTGATAGGACCCTTGAGGCTAAGAGAACAATGACTCTTCTAGATTATTCTAGAAAAGAATCTTTTAGGCATATTTTATAGTTCCTTACTAAGCAACCCTTTTTTGTAGTGCAATAGTTATCTTACTATGAGTATGCATTGGCTTATATAAGCATTACATTGTTTCATGATTAGAATCAATGAATCAAGAAGATTTTTTTAATAATTTTCTTAGATAGTTTTTTATTATTCTTTTCTTGTTGGGATTCAAGTGTGAGTGATTTAGTCCCACATCGACTAGAAATAGAGGAAACCTTGGAAATATAAGAGAAATGACACATACTCCCGTTGCGTTAAGGTTTTGGGTGGATATGTGACGTCTAGATTTGTTGTCCCACATTGACTAGAAATGGAGGCAACTCCCCAACACTTCTCTTTCCAGTTATGGAATCCTAATTTTAGTTGCATAATCTTGTTATTGTTTTCATATTCTGAATCAAATTTTATGACCTGAATATAGAGATCTTTCATACAATAACTTCAGCATCAACCAAGAAATTCAGATATGTCCAAGTGATAAATTGTAAGAATCCCTGCTTTTGTGTACATTTGTTTGCAAACTTAACAACCTTTCTAAGACATCACTTCTTCTAATATGTCACAGAAACTTGTTTTCTAACTCATGGGCAAACAATGACATGTAAGTTTGTTCTTATATAGATAGCCTTTCAATTTTCCTCTTATTATCTATGAATCTTATTATACTAATCATGCTTGCTAACATATTCTATTCCTCCCATCATTCTCTCAGAGGAGCAGTCTCGTGTTTGAGCGAATGTCGCAATCGTGAGTTTCTTCATTCACTTTCCTATAGACTGCTAAAATATTTATGTTTTTTCTTTTTTAAGAAAAATCTTAGAGGTACAAGAGCATAGGGCACCACAAACATGCTTCTTACCAAAAGCATGTTTTAATTTTCTAAACATGCATAGAAGCCCTACGAAACCGGCTTGTAGGGTGAGAATTGCCCCCACTTATAAACACAACACTAGCCATATCTCTAAATAATGTGTGACTAAATCCACACTTTCCAAGCCAACACAATGAAGGTGTTAGGGGCTGCAATGAAGGCAAGCCAAAGTGCCGCAATTAAGGCGACTAGGGGCGGACCACAATTAAGGCGGAAATTCCAACATAAAATATCAGACCAAGAAGAGAGCATCATATTTTGATAGGAGTTATATATTCTCTTTTTATTTGTACTTTATCAAATGATGATGGTTAGAAAAATTCTTCAACTCAATTTATCAATAGGTCAGTTATTAATTTTTTAAATTATTAAAGTATCTTGATTCCAAGAAGATGTTTCATAATAGAGGCATAAGTGGAACTCAAAGGGTTTTCTTTTAGTGTCTAGGTTCCTTAAATTTAGTTTACAATAGTTCAAGTATGTTATTGTAAATTTTTCCGCACAAACAGAACTTTTGTTGGTTGAAAATGACAAATGCGTTGTCTTCTAGTTCCTTAAATTTACTTTCGACACACTACAATCAGACTGTGTATAAAAAATATTGGCAGAAATAAACCGTATATAACTTACCATAACAGAAACACAGAGTAGTTAGAAAGAGAGAAAGAGAATAAGTGTAGACAAATAAATTTCAAGGAATATATTTTTCCTTTTTTTTCTTTGATTCCTTAATATTTTCAAAGTCACTCACATGATCTGCTCAATCCAGCCTCATACTCCCTTTATATAAATTGTGGTGGAAAGCAAGAACAAGTCAATGGAGAAAGTTATGATGATGATTCAGATTCACCTGGACCAGCTAAACTCCATGTCAGTCCAACAGGAAAATGGGCATTTAGCACCACTGGTATATACTTTGATAGTGATCTACTTGGAAAAAATTATCCCCTGCCAAATTTTACTCCACTTACTATGGAAGATGCTAAGTTGTACATAAATGCACGTGGTTCTCCCATTTCTTTGACTTACTATGGGTTTTGTCTGGAAAATGGAAGTTACACGGTAAATCTTCATTTTGCCGAAATAATGTTCACAGACGATCAAACGTATGCTAGTCTTGGAAGACGTGTATTTGATATCTACCTACAGGTACATGGTTTAACAATTTTATTTCAATAGTCACTTGGTGTTTCATAAAAAATAAATTAAGGCTATTAATCAAGTGATCACTAGGTTCCAATAGGAACACTGTCAAACTATTTTTTCTTCGATTGAAATACGAAGAATGCGATTGAAATATTTTTCTGATCAGCAGTTCCCCTGTTTGGCATTATTTATAAAATCCAATTTTACAATATTTCTAATACAAATCAATGATTAAAATACTTGTAGGTTGTAATCACCATAAAACATTAAGGTTGTGATTGAAATGTTACAGGGAAAGCCGGTGCAAAAGGACTTTAATATTGCAAAAGAAGCAGGAGGAGTTGGTAAGGAAGTCATAAAACAGTTCAAAAATATTTTTGTTAACAGTAGTACCTTGGAGATCCGTTTGTATTGGGCTGGAAAAGGGACACAGTTTCTCCCAAATAGATCAGTATACGGTCCTCTTATATCAGCTATATCAGTGGAATCTGGTGGGTTATACTTTCTACGTTCCTAATCTTATAGTATGATCTCCATGTTACATATGATCTAATATTTAAAGTGTTTCATATAATAATCAAGCAGACTCTCCACCTGGAAGCCTATCTGCAAGAGCTGTGGTTGGAATTGTGGTTGCAGCAGCAGTTATTATCATTCTAGTATTTGGTATACTTTGGTGGAAAGGATGTTTTGGAAAGAAAAAAACATTAGCAAGAGGTGATTACAAAAGAACTTCTTTTGTTGTCATTATTATTAAACTTTTCGCTAACATATGAGTAATTCACGTGATAGAAATTTGAACATGTACTTTTCACTAAACTGAGGAAAGTTTGAACATGTACTTTTATTAGTATATCTTGTTATTGAACGTGGGACTAGTTTTATTTTAATAAAAGAAAGTTGCATGCTTACAAAAAATGGACTGCCGATGCAGAGTCTCCATGTGTAATTTTCTGAGTGTAAGAGATATTTGATCTTTCTTTTACATCAATTAACAGAGCTGAGGAGTTTGGACGTTCAAACGGGTTTATTTACCTTAAGACAAATCAAAGCAGCTACAAATAACTTTGATATTTCCAATAAGATTGGAGAAGGAGGATTTGGTCCCGTGTATAAGGTATTTTACATAATTAAACACATCCTCTCGTGTGTCACCTTGTTACTATAATATTACATATATTTTTTAGAAAATTCTATTTCAACTTTTGACAAAATAGCATTCCTCAAAATGCAGGGATGTTTACCCAATGGGACATTGATAGCAGTAAAGCAACTTTCTTCTAAATCAAAGCAAGGGAATCGTGAGTTCTTAAATGAAATAGGCATGATATCTGCTTTGCAACATCCTTATCTTGTTAAACTCCATGGTTGTTGTGTGGAGGGAGATCAATTGTTGCTGATATATGAATACCTGGAAAACAATAGTCTAGCTCGTGCTTTATTTGGTAATTTTTCCTACTTCAGGTTTCTATTTATGTGATAGTCCACAATTTCTAACGTAGCACGCGACTATGTGGTATCACTTTCTGATTTTTTTTTACCTTTACAAATAAAGGTCCAGAGGAACACCAAATTAAATTAGATTGGCCAACTAGGCAGAAGATTTGTGTTGGTATTGCTAGAGGTTTAGCATACCTCCATGAAGAATCAAGACTGAAGGTTGTTCACAGGGACATCAAGGCCACCAATGTATTGCTTGATACAAATCTTGACCCAAAGATATCTGATTTTGGTTTGGCAAAGCTTGACGAGGAGGACAATACTCACATTAGTACGAGAATTGCTGGTACCTAGTGAGTAACTATAATTCTTGTCTTCTCCTAGTTTACTAATAAGTACTGCAAAACGTTATTATATTCGATTCAAATTACATATTTTTATTAACTAAAAGTTTGATATCAAGTTGTATACTTATATCAAAGTCATTTCAATGAAACTTTCCAATTATGCAGTGGATATATGGCTCCGGAATATGCAATGCATGGTTATTTGACGGACAAAGCAGATGTCTATAGTTTTGGAATTGTTGCCTTGGAAATCGTTAGTGGAAAGAGCAACACCATGTTTCGATCAAAGGAGGAAGCATTCTATCTTCTTGATTGGGTAACTTTTTTTATCTCAATTGGTCATGTAAATTTGATTATCCATTGTATTATCTACATACAATTCGTTCTGTCATACATATAGTGTTGTTCATTTTTCAGCTAATAATTCAATTCTAGAAGAGAATAAAATTATTGACCCCTCTTTTTGTTCAGACCAACACAAAGACAACAATCTAGCTAAAGGATTAATTAAGAAACAGATTGCTAATTTTGAAAATATATTTGAAAATTTCTTTGTAAGGAGTACATTTTACGAGGACAATGAAGGGATAAAAAAAGGATGCTTTTTAAATATTTTCTAGAAGAGTAATTGTACAAAACCTTTCATAGCTACTGTTAATTTCTAAAATCTTAATATCATGAAGCATCTAAATGACATACTAGTGGCATCAATTTGGTGTAAATCACTTGGGTTTAAATCAAACTATTCTTTGTTTTCTTTCCCCTTTCAACAGGCACATTTGTTGAAAGAGAGGGGTGACCTATTGGAGCTAGTTGATAGAAGATTAGGTTTAGATTTCAACAAAAAGGAAGCTATGGTGGTAATCAACGTGGCTCTCCTATGCACCAATGTCACTTCAAACCTTAGACCCTCCATGTCGTTGGTGGTAAGTTTTCTTGAAGGAAGGACTGTGGTACCAGAATTTGTTTCAGATTCAAGTGAAGTAATGGATGAAAAGAAGTTGGAAGTAATGAGGCAGTATTACTATCAGATGGAAGAAAATAATTTAAGTACCACCTCACAAAGTCAGAGTATATTAAATGACGGGCCATGGACTGCCACATCTTCATCAGCTGTAGACCTTTATCCTGTTCACCTTGATTCTTCCTATTGGGAGGAAAGAAATTAAGTGTGTTTCTTGATAGATAATTGCATCCGTCAGTTTCATGTCCAGCTAATGTCCCATGTAATGAAACCATGGTGTATATCTTCAAAACTGAGTTTTTGGATTCTATTAGTGTTTTATTTTTTAAAGTTCAAATTTATTAAATAAAGATATATTTGGCGCAAGATATGCCAAGTATTAGGAAGTCAAAATAAAAATATTGTTAGGTAATCTATTGATCCTGTTGTAATTGTATCTCTGTGTGTCGAATATGATTACACATGGTGTATATTTATAAGCAAATAAGAAATATATAATAGGAAACAATATCACTTACACTAATTACTAATTGAATATCAATCAATACTAATTGATTGATGATAAATTCTTAACACTCCCCCTCAAGCCGGATTGTATATATTGTATGATCCGAGTTTGTTACAAATATAATTCACTCGAGAACCCTTGAGAGGCTTGGTAAACATATCAGCCAATTGATCTTCAGATTTGACAAATTATGTGGTTATTTCTCCTGACAATATCTTGTCTCTTACACAGTGACAATCTATTTCTATGTGTTCGGTCTGTTCATGGAAAATCGGATTGGACGCAATGTGGAGTGCTGCTTGATTGTTGCATACGAGTTTTGTGGTCTGAAGGTCACCGAACTTAAGTTCTGAGAGAAAATTCTTAAGCCATGCAAGTTCTTTTGAGGCTGTTGCCATAGCACGATATTCAGCTTCAGCACTAGATAGTGCAACGGTGTTTTGTTTCTTGCTCCTCCATGAGATCATATTTCCTCCAATAAGAACACAATATCCACAAGTGGATCTCCTATCCGACGGTGATCCTGTCCAGTCTGCATCTGAATAACAAATAATTTTAGCATCACCTTTATTTTCATATAATAGGCCCCGTCCTGGTGCATTCTTTATAAATCTGAGAATTCGAATAACTGCATTCCAATGAGTATCACAAAGAGCATTCAGGAATTGACTCACAATGCTCACTGCAAAAGTAATTTATGATCTGGTGACGGTAAGATAATTGAGTCTACCCACTAGACGCCGATATCTTCCCGGGTCTTTCAATAACTCCCCCTGACCCGGAAGAAGCTTGATGTTGGGATCCATAGCAGTATCAATCAGACGACAATCAATCATACCAGTTTCAGTTAGGATGTCTAATGCATATTTACGCTGGTTAATTGCAATGCCTGATCAGGACTGAGCAACTTCAATACCTAAGAAGTATCTGACTGGACCTAAATCTTTTGTCTGAAAGTTTTTGAAAAGGTGAGTTTTGAGTCGCTGGATACCTTATGTATTGTCTCCAGTGATAACAATGTCATTAACATAAACCACAAGAAAAATATGCTGACCAGTAGAAGAGTGAAGGAAGAAAACAGAGTGATTTGCTTCACATTCAGTCATACCAAATTGTATCAAGGCAGAGCTGAAGCAACCTAACCAAGCACGTGGAGACTGTTTTAACTCATAAAGAGAGCGATGAAGCCGACAAGAAAGCCTTGAATTACCAGGAACAGTAAAATCGAGAGGTTGATCCATATACACTTTCTCCTCCAATTCTCCGTGTAAGAAGGCATTTTTGATGTCCAACTGATGAAGTGACCAATGACTAATAGCAGCCATTGCAAGGAAGAGATGGACTGAACTAATCTTGGCCACTGGAGAAAAAGTGTCACCCTAATCAAGACCAAATATTTGTGTGTATCCTTTGGCTACCAAACTAGCTTTAAAACGATCAATCTGACCATCTGGTCCAACTTTCACTGTATAAACCCATCGACATCCCACTAGTTTTTTCTGAAGGCAAAGGAACAATGTCCCAAGTTTTATTTGAATGCAAGGCAGCCATTTCTTCCACCATCGCCTGACGCCATTTGGGATCAGTCATAGCTTCACCTGTAGACTTAGGAATAGACACAAAATTCAAAGCAGACACAAAAGAAACATAGGAAGTAGAGAGATAGTCATAATTTAAAACACAAAAATATTTAGGATTTGGATTATGAAATCAAATACCTTTTCGTAATGCTATTGGAAGGTCAAGTTCAGGTGACGTAGCTGGAGGAACAGTTGGAGTAGGGGATGGTGCTGGTGGATCAATATCATCTCTAACTGTCGATGGACGCGAAGTGCACCGCTGATATACCTGCAAAGGAGGTTTAATGGAAGTGGGGATGAAAGAAGGGATATCTTGATCATCTAAATTACAAGTTTCATTGGGTGACGAAGAGGCAGAGAAGAAAGAGGAACATTCAAAGAATGTATCATCAGAGGAGACAATGTACCGTTGAAGTTGAGGACAAAAACAACGATATCTCTTTTGTATACGTGAGTAGCCTAGAAAAATACATTTGAGAGATTTAGCGGAAAGTTTGTCTTTACCTGGACTAAGATCATGAACAAAGCATGTGCAACTAAAAACGCGAAGGGGAAAGGGATAGAGATCATATTGCAGATTCAAGATAGAGTATGGAATCTGATCTTGAAGGACCGATGAAGGCATTCAGTTGATAAGGTGACACACGGTGAGGAGAGCATCACCCCAAAAACAAGTGGGTACATTGTGGTGAAGTAAAAGAGTCCGTGTGGTTTCAACTAAATGACGATTTTTTCGTTCACCAACACCATTCTGTTGTGGTGTATGAGCACATGATGATTGGTGAATAATTCCCTGTAATGTTAAAAATATTGAAACTGGAATGACATATATTCACGAGCATTATCAGTGCGTAAAATTTTAATGGAAGTGTTACATTGGTTTTTAATTTTAATGCGAATATGTATTTAGTATTCTTAATCTTTTAATTTTTTAATTTATTTAAGCATTAGTTGAATTGTTTATTTATCAATATTAAAATAAAATAGGCTTCTATATAGACTATTAGGCTAATCAGACATTCAAAAAGGTCAAACTCAGACCTAAAATAAGCCTATGATAGGCCACATGCCAGGTTTAAGCTTTGAAATTTTTAGCAGGTCAGACTCAGGCTTGACAAAGCATAGCTCGACCCAACCTGTTCTCATCCTTAGCAACGATGAACCATGCTAGGGCAGCTGAGGTAAAGTCTTCGCATCTACGAACGGAGAGAGTAGCTCAATCGATTGTCACCGAAAATGGATGGCTGCATAGTTCTTTTGTGCACCCCGTACCACCATACGCCGCGTTGTTAGAGGTGGCAAGCAACCAAAGATGATGCAGATGAGCAGGTTGTTGAGGCTATTCATGCTGAGGAGGTGCAAGGTTAGGCTATTATTGACCTTACTAAGGTGGTCGAGACAAATGCGACCCCTATTACTACTGAGGTGGTCGAGACATCTATTTCTATTGAGGCCGAGACAGATACAACTCTTATTGCTATCGAGGTTGAGACAAATGTGGCCCATATTGCTGCTAAGGATGATATAGGTGCGTCCCCTATTGATACTAAGGTCGAGACAAGTGGAATCGAGGCTACTGCTACTGGTGATACAGAGGTTACAACTTCTGCTTCGACGAAGCCATCTGTGCACACTAACAGAGAGTTCTCGAGAGGGCCTAGTGACCGTTCAATGCTTATAGAATATGTCAACCATGCAACATACCGATTATGGAAGGGAGAAGTATATATATCTTTTGTTTAAATTTAATTTATTTATTACTGATACTTGATGTGTTGAAACTAACTGGTGATTTTTTAACTTTGTTTGTTACAGGAGCGTCCCACGCTAAAGGTGACATCCCACGAGTTAAAGATGAAGAGCTTTTATAAGGTTCTGATGCCTGAGCAGGTCAGGCGTTTTGTTGATGATTGTGGTCTCCTATCATTGACTGACTACTCAATCACCATGCTTGACGCTTCACTTATGATTGTCTTTGTTGAGCGATGACACAATGATACATCTTCCTTTCATCTTTCATTTGGGGAGATGAATATCACTTTGGATGATATCTCCTTCCTGTTCCATTTCCCCGTCCCTGGTAGATTCTCCGTTGCTTCTGATATTAACCAGAATCTTGCATGTATCGCGACTACACGAGATTTGAGAGTTATTGAGGAGGTAGTGCTAAAGGAGTTTAAGCATAATAGGGGAGCTCGCTTTCGGATGTCTTGGCTTTGGAACGTGTATATAAATCTTATTAAGCGGCAAATGTACGAGGAAACCACAAGGGTATACATGCTACGTCTAGTAGTATATACTATCTTTGCGGATAAGTCTCATGTTTATGTTGATTCTCGTCACATGTGGCAATTTAGTAGCCTTGAGCATACCAGTTGGACTTGGGGTGCACTGCATGGCTATTTGAGTATATTCTAGGTATATTAAAAATGATTATTTATAATTTAGTTCTTATTTAATTGTTACATATGACATTTCTTGATTTTCTATGTTCTTTTATCACTGACTGATATACAAGCATTTCCCACCATTTGTGACAAGAGGGTGTTATGTACCCTTGCTGACTCTCCATAGGAGAAGAGATGAAAGGCCATACAAGCACATGCATGTGGTGTTACATAGTACATGAAGATGCTTGATGCGCTGCCAATAGAGGATGTCATCTTGACACCCTGCAGAGATCACATAGTCCATCATGAGTTTCCCGAGTCTTCTTTCTTTTCTGGTTATATGCGGTGGGAGACCTTAGTGGCTATAAAATTTTTCGAGAGGTGTCTGTGCCAGTATAGGTATGTCTAGGGAATCCCACAACGAGTTCCTGTTATTCTAGATTCAAGCATTGACAGGTGATTTTAGAGTAACATAATCAGCTCTTCTCATTCCATTAGAGATAGTGTAGTGGTGGTTCAACATGATGCACTGTGTAAGGATGTTTACCTAGAGTGGTAACTTATTGTATCACACCCTCTCATCATCCCACTTGTTGAGCATTTAAATGATGTTATTCCTTCCGATGTTGGGGAATCTTCTGATGACGTGCCACCACATCCACCTGGTGTTGATGACCAGCAACACCTGCAAATGATCGTTGTTATTATGGATAACCTCATGGGTTTG